ATGTGTGCAAATCTTATACCTACTTATTCCTATTTACACTAGAGCAAGCCTTGTATGCCGGACTGTATCTGACTTTAATATTACAACGTGTATTCTTAAAACAAAAAGTCATTAATAATAGGCAATCTACAGGATATAATGTCTGTAAATTCAGGAACAAATGGAATATTTTGTTAAGTACAGAAAATTTCAAAATATATAATTTTATGAAGGACGTATTAAGTTGAGCAAGTCTATGGATTCAGACTCTTCCCTAGACATTATGAAAACAAACAATACCAATCGGATAACGATATCAAAAATATTGTTAGGTATACGTGACGTAAATTGAACAAGATATCAAAATATTCCAGGTATGTGTACGGAATATATTATTCCAATGGCGACTACGTCGATAACGATAAAATGTTAACAATGTTGTATAACAATATTTCTGCATGTTCTTTGCTTTCGTTTGCTTATTTCCTTCTTGTTTTCTCCATAAATTCTTTCGCTTATCACTCACAAACGTCACGAAAATGCCAGCATATCAACATGAACTAAATCCCAACTCAAATTCAGTAAGTCTAGGGGAAAATATGAACAAACAAAAGATTACGCTGAGGCCCAAGGAACAGTACAAGGATAATAAGACCACGTGTTCCGGAAGATTAAGCGTCTTCTGCTTCATCGACGACACCTGCCATGTAATCTATAAATTATGAAATATTTCACACGGTAGTTAAACTTGTGAAACAAGATGGCAATCAGTCTGTATATGTATATATATATTTTATTTCTCTTGAAAATTAGATAATCCTTGCTCTGAATTAAGCCACGATTTGCTAAGAAAATGTACTCCACATTACCTAAAGACAAAGACAACCAACGACAGTCGTAAAAGTTGTAGATGTTAAATTAACACTTTACGATGCAGCGATATTTCTTCAAACTGTAAGTCAAGGTTAAATCATGGCGTCGAGATCATGTCAAATATGCCACGGTACATGTTTGTTAGAGATCCCAATTATGTTATCTTCTTTAACAGAAGCCCAGTTGGAAGTCATTCAGCGTTCATGCAGGTGTTGATTTACTGTTATATGTATTGAAATATCGCTAACTAATTATCAAATGTTCGAAATATGTCAATAACTCGAGAGGAAGATGTATAAATTCAATACTTTCACAATATTATATCAAACGTCATCGGACAGTGCCAGATAATCTGTTAAGTGGCGGATTAAAATCAGTACCTACGATTTTAATTTTCTCTTACTACCATGAATATCTTCTTATCTATGCAATCGGGAGAATTACATTTCATTTGCTCGTTGGTATGCTGTATACGCCTCTTTGCCACTGTCAATGTTATTTTTGAAATCATCCTTCGTGTAAACGCATTGAAAAAATGTTTTAGCTAAATATTGACACCTTGCTTATCATGTCTGTATTTTTGTTGCTTTTGTTCATGATTTACTGTGCATAACGTACATACATGTATATTTCAAACTGACTATTCTTAAAATGCTCATCGTGTTAAAGGATTTCTTATCAATATCAAGGAAATTGTAACCGTCTTACTCCACAGTGTTACCAATTAAGGAAGACGGTGGTTTGTTCCAGAACTTTATTGTTGTATTTATGGTCAATCAGACCATGATACACGCGAAAATAACGAGTACTGACGCGAAAATTATTTTGTTATCTTAACTGATGGTCTGCAGGCCATGATATGAAAGTATGGAAAAACAATTCTATAATCGAAATAAATAGCATGTACCAAATAATAAAGTGACTGCAAATATTATAAACTTAACCTTTAAGTGATTAAATAAAATAAAATGCTGTCACATTTCCCCAACAGTTAAAAGTTATTGCGTTATAAGATAACGTTCTTCAAATCAATTTTCCGTCGAGTTTGAAAGTCAAGGTAGTGGCTTTAAGCGTCAATATATATTCTCTGCTGTTACTAACCATTACGTAAGTTGTCAATCTGGTCGTTCTTAAAAAGCAGTTTGGTTGATAATAAATGTAATCAATCAACTGTTTTAATTCTAACTCGCCACAAAAAGAAACTGACTGTTAAGAAAAGTTTGTAGTTTACTGATAAGGCATCTTGTCACTGCCATTGACGATTCAAAACACACCGAACTTGATATGGCAGAAGGAAAGATTCTTTTGCAGAACAAGTTCTCATGACAACAACTGATAACCTCAACATTTCATCAAAGTCAACTTTCATTTCAAAAGCTTGTGCTATACAGCACTTAAGTTTATCATCAGCAGTTCAAACATCTCGCAGAAACTGTATTATAGGGAAAAGCCCTTAACATATTTCAGTACAAAGTCACAATATAAGTTACGATCGAGGTATCAATTCATCCTGTGACAGAAATTGTACTGAATCAATGTAGCCATTAAGTAACTTATCAGTTCAGTTGTAAAAACTGACCTATTTAAAAAATGAAATAGAAAACCTTGGCTAGTTCTGTCCTATTCAGTGTATCTTTGGTGTTCTTTTCCGACTACACTAAGAGTACACACCGACAACCAGGAAACCAGTTAGTGATTTTATGCTCAGCTTCAAGGTTTCGATCATCTACTTTAGCGACAAGTATTCCAAAATAGATAACAATAGGCGGTTATGTCGCCAATTAGTGTCGTCTTTTTCTCCGTTTTCTGTTTCATGCTTTTCTTGTAAATTTTGTTTTGTTCATAAATTGGCCCCATTTCAATGACATCGAATCTCTAATCCAGATTCTGTTGACATGTGCGATTTTCGTAAAATTGGCTGAGCAGGCGAATATAGAATGGCACGTTTTAATTCATTTCATGTCACGATCCTTAATATACATGCGTACTTGATGTTCTTCTGGAATTATCAGATTTATGAAAATTACGAAATATATCAAACTATTCGGTTAGTGCATTTTCTCATCAAGATTTTGACATTTTTATTCGATAAATTTTCGTTTCCCTCAGCCCCTCTTAGGTTTAAAATTTAGGTTCTAGCATACTGACGAATCCTAGAAACTGTCCAGATTAATTCATTATTTGATTCTGCTGTTCCTCTAGTTCTAGATTTATATTGAAAGGTATTTTTCACTGGCGTGTCTTTTGTACAATAGCACAGGTTATCAATCATGCATTTATAAAGAATACACAAATCTTTGAGTTTCTATGTCATTTGCAGTGCACAAATAAGACTGATGAGATTGGGATACCCCGGTAGCTGATAGCAAAACACTAATCATTTGATTTGTATTAGGCTTTGCTTGAGATGACAAGGCCTATCTTGGTAGTATGCCATCGTTATTTATTAAGCAGGGAATTTATCCAAATGCCATGTTACATAACTAGTGAATATAGAATGAAAAAGTCTCGTCCAAGATTCATACCAAATATTTCTTAAAGTCGTTATCTCCATAACATATAATCTTTCCCATCTTAATTATCGTAATTCGGGACCTTTTTGAAGATTCATTTATTTATTTAGAACATTGATAAACGTGTTTCCAATACAAACTGACTTTTACAATGCTACTGGACAATTCTATTTCATATCAGCCGCTTATCTCGATTTTTTTCCTTCAACGAAACCAACATGGACAGATTTCCACCAAGCTGTTTGATAAGCGTAATAATTTCAATTTCTCTCCAGTAACTTTTCCATTTTTGGATAGCAACATACATTCTCCCCAGCCTAACGTGTTTACATGTTGTAGTTGATGTGATATTCAAGGTCATTATTATCACGATTTCGTGAAAGATGTCGTCAACTTACGGACAAACTCCTAACACAGGAATTCAAAAGATGCATGGTTAATGAATAACATTATGGGAAGTGTTACACTCATCATAGTGATCTATATATTTGTTCTTTCTTTGTGCGATATGAAGCTGGACGTGTTTAATGGTTGTCAGTTTTTTTGTCTGCTGGTTTCGGTGTGGTATATATTGTTATTATTTCAGAATATGACATAACTTACTTGGGTTGACCATGGTTTGTATGAAGCTCATAGCGGATGTGAGCATGAAGCAGAAGACGCTTACTCTCCCGGAACACCTGATCTTATGTTCTGATGTTGCTGACATGTTCGTATTTTCTTTGGTTTTTTTTTTTTTTTTTTTTCAAATGGCAATACTTTGCTGGAGATATGAAATGAAGACATACCGGGTATATTTTTTAACCTTTCAATACGTTACTGAAATACAAAGTCCATATTCTATTGAAGATTTACACAGGTGAATAGCACCTTTCAAAATCAATTTAGATTAAGATACAGCAGGATCAAAAAATAATCAAACTGCATCATTCAGCTGTTTGGTTCTTCTAGGACTCGGCAGTGATTACAAGGGCCTAAATTTTGAAGCCTAGTAGGCAACCGAGGAAAATCCAAAGTAATCAAAAGAAAAGTCAAAATACAAACGAGGAGTTGCAACACTTTCATAATTAAATAAATTTCATTATTTTCATAAATCAAATAATTTTAGAACTATTTCAACTGCAATGTGTATATTCTTAATCGTCTTGTTATTCGAAGGAATTGAAACGTTGCATGCAGGTTAAGCCTACTGCTAATTCCGGAGACTAAAAGTCCACCAGCAGTGTCTACCATCTACTATCTCAAAGAATGCACAAAAGGCAAACAAATGATTAGCGCTTTTTAATCGAAATTGAGAGTTAGAGTAAAGCCAACAATGAATTAAACTGCATCATATAGCTGTTTTGTCTTAACCAAGATCTTTCACTGATTACTGTTACTGGAACAATGCATATCATTTTACCCTTTAAAAGGTTCAGTGTTATCGTTTTATGAGCAGTGTGTACTTGGTTATCAAGCTGTTGCAACAGTTACAACACGTAATTAGCAATCAAAAAATACATACCAGATGAATTCTTATACACATTTTTGTGTATTTATTTAGATCAGACGGATTTTCAAGAGCCTACCAACCAATTTTCAAGGACTCAAATTAAACTGAAGCTTCTGTTTCTCAGGGATGTTTGATATAAATACCTTTATTTGGTGTTTTCTAAACCAGACAGAATGGAGAACGGAAAGGGTGGCTTCTACTCCAGATGGGCTGAAGAACACCATGTGGCTGGGGGTTCCCTGCAAAAATATCAACCAGTAAAACATCACACCACTCCATCAAACAATGATTTATTTTTTAGGTGAGAAAAGAAAAAAACGTGGAAGTATTCTTGCAAATGTGATGAATAATACAGCCATGTCACTGATAAAAAGAGGAAATCTGAACAGTGTTTTTAGTTGTTCAATGTAGTGTTAGCATCTATATTATGTTGGCCTGTCAAGCATTGTTTTTGAAGTAGATCAAAAACATCAAAACAAGACAGAACAAGAATTAAATAAAAACCTATAAACAGTCCCTCACTTATATAATCTCCATTTTTACATCAACTGGACTTGACTTCTGAAGCATACATTTTCTATGTTATAATGGCTAAGACAGGCTTTGTCAAATAACAAGTAACAGTAATTCTGGAAAAGTAATAGATGATATACAGTATATCTCTTGATAAATTTACTTGGCCAAAGGCAGGCCAACCCAGTTAAAAATCCATTGCTGTGAATTTCTCTCATTCCACACAGGAAGCTCCTTCATTAACATGTAGTCTAGTGCTTTCTGCAGATAAAAATGAATGTAAATTCATGCTTTTTATTAAATCTTCTTTAATATAAAACATGCAGCACATGATTTTAATGTATGTGGTTCTTGTTCAGATTTTTGGTTGTCCTTATAAAATGGTCACACAAAGTTTAACAGATGTACAATAAAGATCTGTAAAGCTTTACCTAATAGAATATGTATAATCATTTGTTAATAATCTGAATTTATTGGGATGAACACTATATTTTTAGTTACCATAATAAGCTTTACATTATCTTTGTAAACTGTGTGGTTATGATTAACTATCAAAGCCTAAGTGTAAGAACTAATCAATATTTAGGGCATAAAGTAAACATTTTCATGAAGCACTTTATGAAAAACTTCAAAATCTTGCAAAACTATTTTTTATGAAACTTTAACGTAAATTTGAATTTTCAAAACTTCATTTTTTCCTCAGTCCACTTTAGCTTGAAAACATCTTTGTAATTATCGATAACAAAATCCCAACAGTACATATCTGAGGCCATAGATCTGTAAACACAAACCCACGAGACTGATCACTTAATACTAGTGAAACTGATTACTTGCGAAACTGATTACCAGCGAAACTGATTCCAAAAAACTGTTGAGTGTTAATTACATATACGATGCCTCAGGTTCCAAGGAATGAATCACCAAGTATAACACATTCCACATAGAAGCCTGTAAGCTGATGTTACTTCTCTGTACAGGTAAATGTATGTAAGTGGGATTTAAAACATATCAGAGAGACGAATATTATCATTTTAGCATCATTTTATTTTTTAAATAAAGCACACTGAATGTTGCAAAGGATTCCATGATTTTTTATTCATAGTGCCTAATTTTCATGCTCATATCTAAACTAATTTGACACATTCTGGTCAAGGCTATCCTCATATTTCAGTTTAATCAAGACATTTATAAAAATTATGTATATTGTTTGGTTTGCTAATGAGTTAAACATGGCAATCTGTGCTAAACCAAGCTGAAGATAGATAACTCTTACATCACACCATATTTCACAGGAATGCTGCTGAGCATGTTGAAACAGAATGACACTGGGAACTTTTCATCAACTTTAAACCATTTCATGTAAGCTGCCTTTTTTCACCTGGACTGATTTCATTCAATACATCTCTCCATATTTGGTGAATGATCATTTGGAAAACATTTAAATGATATTTTATGTAAAGTGATTTTGAAGCTTTAAAATAAACAATTCAGCAGTATATTATACAAATAAAATATCATTGGATGATTTAACTGTACACAACACAAAGAAAGACTATAAATGTGTTCTTTCTCAAATAAAGCGACTCAAGTTATTGACAAAAAGAGAAAAGAACCTAAGGACTGTGTAGGTTATACCTCAAATAATACTGCACATCAAGACAAAATATCTATGTTTCATTATAGCCAGCAAATAGGGGATGAATTACATTATCTCCTTACTATTCAGAATTACAAGTATTAGGTTTTAAGAAAAGTAACCCAAGCTACATGGTTTATCATGAACTGGGCACACACAAATTCGCTTTTATTTGATATTAAAACAAGAATGATAAATTATTTGGTGAAGAATATTACAGTCTAACAAAAAATGACATACTGTTGTAATTTGTAATAAATTATTGTTATATTACTAAGTAGAGTAGATCCATACTAATGCCAGTCATCAGCTGAACATAAGTAAAATATCAAAATATCATTACATAAGTCTTAATGCAATTAACTTTAAACAATTTCTGAATTCCAGGGATATGAATCTTAAAATAACTATAGAATTTATCAAAATAAGTTTTAGCAATATTTGTCCTGCACGAAGTGATGTGAAATGAAGTATGTAACAATACATGCAACAACAAATGCCTTGATAAGATAAATTGAATGGTGCAATAGGTTTCTCCATATTTTATATTGTTAAAGAGAATAAGATTAATTAATCTTTATTTTTCCACACATATCTGAGATAAAGTAATTTAACTATCATTATGATATCAAAAAGATTTTGAAAAGTATTGTTAATCAATAAATTCAAAATCTTATCAATATATCTCATAACATTTTTATATTCATATTTTTCAAAAAGTATCATTAACTTTGGAAAAAAGTAGACAAAAGATGCAAGTATTATCAGTTGTTGACTACCAACAGGTAGATTTTATAGATAAATTTGCCAGTAGGGACTGACACTACTTTAATGAACTTCTATAACCCCTATCAAAACAAACTGTCCTCTATAGGGAAATTTGAACTTTTGGCATTCAGAGATACATCGCTTTTACAAACTGTATGAATTGGGAATATCCAAGTTAAGTATTATAGAACATCTATAAAGAAAATATAAGTTACTTAGATATCACTTGCCTGGAAATCAATTTTCATCACAAATATATCAACACATATGCCACTAACATTTCTAAATAGACACATCAAATCAATTCTAAACAATTTCCGAAACAAACTTTAGCTACTTACACTCAACTCTAAACAGTGGCATATGTTACCTTTTTTTTTATTTGACTTGGTAACGCCTTTCCATCAATGATCTAGCTTTTCTGCTTTTTGATTTGCAAATTCTGGTAACCCTACAGAAGGAGGGTTTTGAAGGATTTGCTCTTTTTCACCTACTGGGCCCCACCCCTCTCGCCCCAGTGGGCCAAAACCAAATGTTTTCACAAAATTGATTCCCCTTCACCTTAGCATGCTTTAGATTAAATCGGTTCAAAATCCAGACATCATTATAGGTGAAGGATTTTAAAGTATATTCAGATACCCACATATTATACAAAATTGATTCCTATTAACCCAAAAATTGGGATGAAATTTGGACAAAATATAGGATTTTAAATAACTTGCTATATTACCTCTTTTGTACCCTGTCTCTCAGGCCCTAGTTGCCAAGAACCATCATTTATACAGACTTAGTTCCATTTCCCCCTGGGTGCTTCTTATCAAATTTGGCCAAAATCAAAAGCATAATTTTAGCACAACATATAAACAAGTCATGTTAGGGGAAAGTACTTAAATCGTTTGTCTGTATTAAATCTATTTGACCCACCCCTCTGCCCCAAGTGGGTTAGGTGCACTGCTTACACAAACAAAGTTTCCTTCGCCCAAGGATGCTTCAGATCAAATCTAGGCAAAATTGAATCACTATAACAGCAGAAGAATTTTACAGAAGTCGCTCCAGGTGGCTCAAGACCAAACGTTATTCAAAACACTAATTCTTCACCCAGGGATGTCTCAGACCAGATTTGGAAGTATTTCTCCTATTGAGCACGCCCTTCTCACCTCAGAAAATTTGTTTTCCCTTTCCCCATTGATAGTAATTATCATAATTAGTCAAAATCTGCTCAGTCATTCATGACCAGTAGTGAGTTGAGGGAAAGTTGATGGATTGATGGATGGATGGAGAGAAGGACTGATAGATAACTGGATGGATGGGCAATGTATGTGGTAATATATAATAAGCTCACTTGGCCCTTTAGGGCTGACTATTATAGACAGTTTCTGCAGAGATCAGTTTATTAACAGTGATAGAGTGATAATGGTTATATTTGAAGTATTTACACAGAAATATTGTATGTCAAATGTACTTAAAGGCCTGTCACTAGAGTAGTCTGCAAAACCATTCATGTCTCAGACCAAACTGAGGCAGAATCCTGCCATTCCCAAAGAAGTACAAAGATTTTAAAGATTTTTTTTCTTTTTAACCAATATTGGATCCTGTCCCTCCTGTTCCAGCATGTCAAGGCCCAGTGTTTATATCAAATCAATTCTGCAGGTACACCTTCGGACCAAACATGGGTAAAATCCGATCATTCCTATAACAGGAGTAGGATTTAAAGAATTTTCTCTATTTCCCCTATTGAGCCCCCACCCTTTCTATGTACCCAAGTGGGCTAAGCCAACTGTTTTACATAATCAATTCCTCTTCACCCACCAGTGCTTCAGACCAGATTTAGGCAAAATCCAATTATTCCTGAAGGAGTAGAAGGACTTTAAAGAATTTGCAAAATTCCCCCTTTTAGGCCACGTCCCTCAGGTCCCAGCAGGGCCCAGGACCACTGTTTATAAAAAATAGATCTCCGTTGACCAAAGAAAGCTTCAGATTAAATTTTGGGTGAAATCCAATCCTTCCCACAGAAGGAGGAGGATTTTAAAAAGTTGCTCTGTTTCCATTATTGGACCCTATCCCTCCCATCCCAGGGGAACAAGTCTCAAAATTTATATAAAATTAATTTCCCTTAAACCAGGAATGCTTCAGACCAAATTTCAGCAAAATTCAATCATTCTTGCAGGAGGAGTAGAACTTTAAAGCACCTGCAAAATTTCCCCTTTTGGATCCTGCCCCTCAGGCCCCAGGGGCTCAGTTCCATCATTTATAAAAAATTGACTTCCCTTCCCCAAAGGATACTTCAGATCAAATTTGGGCAAAATCCACTATGTGGTTCATTACTAGTAGCAATTTGTTGGGAAAGTTGACAGAAGGATGACAGACAATGGATGGAGATGGAAACAAATGATGGACAACACAGTATCCCTTTAGCTGACATGGCCCTACTTCTGTCTAACATCCCTTCTAACATAGAGTCTTCATTTTTAAAAATCTAAAGCAACTAAAGACATCTATAAAAAATCAACCTAAAAATGGGTAGGAAAAAATGGTCTGAAAATTTTGACTTTAGCAAACTGACTTGGTCAAGTATTTTTTCTTTACCTTTTAAAGTTATTAAAGACTTGAAATTTCAATGATTCCAATCTAGAATTTTTCACAATATTTGGCAACAAATTCAATCCATTTTAAAGCAAACATTGTCATTAGCCCACTGATTCTGTAAATCAGAGGCAGAAATTATCCATCATATTCTCTTGGAATGTGAAAAGGTTCAGAATTTCTTACATAACTTTGAAACACTTCTAGAAACCCTCTACTTTCCATTCACTGTCAACAATGAGACTTTAGTCTTTGAGTTCTTGTCGTTTGGCAATAAGTACGTAGTTAATATTGATAATAAATCTAATATCATCATTAAGCAGTACATCAATAAAACCAGGGTTCTCATATTATCAATACAATCAAATTAAAGATCTTCATATAAACAAATTATAGCAATAGCTAGGTGAGATTCTTTTCTTGAAAGTTTTGATGTAGAGTGGAGGAAATGGAAAAAATATATTACAACTTAAAGCCACCATCTATCCTATGTTTATACTAATATGTTTGATATTGTTTTGCTGGTTAGTTTTATCATTCAACCCCACCCCGTCTCTCCTGTGACCCTAACAGCTTTTTAGAAAAAATTGAACACTTCTGAGTCTATATAACTATTACACTACTAACCTCATGCTATCTGTAAATTAACATAGCAAAATATATAGTTTGAAACCCTACAGTCTCACTGAAAATATGGTGATAAGATTATGAGTTGATGTAGGATTATTGCCACATTGCTGTTTTGAAAAGAAGTGAAAAATGTAATATAGGAATGTTGTAAACATGTGGCATCATATGCTGTTAAAATTTGAGGCAAATCTATTGTAGCGAAGTTGAAGACTAAAGACATCTTAATACCAATGCAATTATGTTCTCAAAATTTAAAAGTTAACAGTAAGAGCAAAAGAGTTACTCCCCTTCACACACAGGACATTTAGGTGTTTCCCAGCAGTGATCAAATGTCAAGTTATAAATCATCAAAGTCAGTGTTAAAGGGATAAAAAAAAGGATTTATAATAAATGGTATTGTAGAAATATCACATCTAAATGTCATAAAACACATCATTGTGTTGATTTTTTAAACACTGACTAGAACAACTGTCAAATCCAAATGTCAGGTGGTTCCATCATTTGTCATTATTTCAACTGATCATAGCTAATATCAGACTGATCTGAAAAAGTTCAAGTGCATGAGCTCAGTATGCTGGTACAGTTAATGTGGGTTTACACATCATTTCCGTAATTCCTAAAACCATCGTAATAAAAACAAAGAGAATTCCTTGTAAATGTTTGTTACATGTGATATATCATTACCAGCAGTTCACAAATTAGGTACAATAATATTCTATAATGCATTTATCATACATCAGAATGTCATTATTGCCTCTTTTTACTTCAAAACATGTGTCTATATGGTTTACATACAAATGTCTTTGAGTGTTGTGAAAGGACTTGAACATCCAGTTTTATTCAGTAAACTTGCCTATACTTCCAATGTAAAAATTCTCATCTTAAACTGGAGATTTTTTAAGACAAAACCTGTCATTTTCATTTAAATCAAAATTTTTAATCGCAAACTGGGTTAATCTCAGTACACAAGGTTGTGAGAAAATGTGTTAACACAAACAGGACTGAATAAAAGTTTGATAAGAAGCAATCTCCAGTTTGTGAAGAACATTCATGGTTAAACTGGAGCAATTGAGGTCAGCCACAAGTCAGGAAGTTAGCTTATTATCGGCTAATGGTAGGTGATTAATTGAGTGGGCTTATTACCAGGCATGGGTTTGATACAGTTATGCATATAAACAAGTAATGTACTACAACATGTAGTGACAGTAGATACATTTTAAATGTTACTTTTACTAACCTCCTTGTTCACAAGGTCATGAATATAGGGCTCCAGATCTACCCGTGGGATAGTTTGGTACACTGTGATCTCATGTAACTCTAACCCTACAAACAAAGTTGTCATATCTATATATCTGTATCAACTACTGGTCAATGACTATAATGATCAAATTATGACTTTATGAAACATAATTCAATTAAATTGAATAATTTATTGTCACAACATACAGGTAAACACAGGGATGTACAAAAACCACAGGAAAGGTATATAGTACACTTTCAATAAAAAGGTCAAAACAAAATGAACCTACATTAAACGATTAAAAATGTTTTGTCAATCATAATAAATATAATAGATAGCTGCCTTTTTTCAAACAAATGATCTCTATGATCATGCAAGAATGCACTTTTAAAAAAAACTTTAAAAGTAAAAAATTCTGATGTATAGACTACTTGTAACATAAAGTTTTCTTATGAAAACTTAACCAACACAATTTGAGAAAAAGATATCTAAAAAAGAAATGAATATAGGAGATAAGAAAATTGCAATTCTTAGGGGGAAAATACTTTTCAAACTTTAAAGTAAACCCACAATATTTTTGGTACTGACATGTTTTAATGATCTGAAAATGTATTATTTGATGACTGTAAAGTTTCATTATTAATTAACAATCTGATAATTCATCGTTTGATGACTGTAAAGTTTTATTATCAATTAACAATCTGATAATTCATTGTTTGATGACTGTAAAGTTTTATTATCAATTAACAATCTGATAATTCATCGTTTGATGACTTTGAACTTTAATAATGTTACATCAATTCTGTTATTTCTTACCATTTTCTTTCATCTTTTTTGGTAAGGTATCCCTTTTCAAATTTCCACATGGATACAAAATTGGTCTGGTTAAATGTCTTAAATCTGAAAAATAAAAAACAATCACATTCACCAACAATTATTAACATACAATTTATGTATACATATTTGATGAATACTCAGCTGTGGATGGACTAAAACACAGGCTGGCACAATATTGAGTCTGTTTACAAACATGGCATGTCTCTTGGTTATTGAAAAGTACAAATAGATAATACATTGACCAAGACTATCCCCTCATTTTTTGTTTCTTAAATTCTTTGAAGATTAATGTATGTCATTTGCTACATCAGCAAGTTATCCACTTTCAATCATAGGATTTCCAATAGATTATCCCCCTTTACTACATTGTAGCTTGATTTCAGACAGGTTATGTCCCTTACTACCTTTAAGAAGGATTTCAGACAAAGCCTCAGCACTGCCACTGTCCTCCCCCTGAGGCAGGAAACCAAGATTCTTGGCTAAAGTATAGAAAAAAAATATAATTGAATAAACCTACCATACTGGATTGAAACATTGAGAGAACCAGTACTTCTGAAGCACTTTAACGTACAAGTATTAACATAGTCTGAATGTTTGATAATCACTTTTGCTCAAGATTGTACTTTATCTGAGCTTTTTTCTTTCCTTCTAATGCAATTATGCAATCTATTTTAATAATCAGAAACAAAAACAAGAGATCCCAGAGGGATTTTGGCGCCCACAATTGTTTGTTCTTTATATGATCTTTTAAAGTTGGATCTTTTTCCTTCTTTTCTCTGTTTTTGCTATTAATGATAAGAAATTTGAACATTCCGTTGCAGAAATAGCGATGATAATCCTTACCTGCCCAATCCAAAATGGCCATCTGGAAGCCATTTTGTTTCTTCTAATCAGTCCCAAAATAAAAAAAAAACACAAGGAGAGACCAAAGAGAACATATGTGTAAAATTTGTGAGATATCCATTTAGTACTTCTTAAGAAAAAGTAATAACAATCTTTACTAGTCAAAATCCAAGATGACCACCTGTCAGTCATTTTGTTTTTCTGATCAGTCCCAAATTCCAACAGGCACAACTAGGGACCTAAAGGAACCTAAACATGAAATTTGAGAAAGATCCTATTAGTGCTTCTCCAGAAATAGCGATAACAAACTTTCAAAGTCAAAATCCAAGATGGTCATCTGTCTGCCATTTTGTTCATCTGATCAAACCCAAAATTAAATGGGCACAACCATGGACAAGGAGAAACTTACATATAAAATTTGAAAAAGATCTATCCATTACTTCTTAAGAAATAGCGATAACAATCTTTCAAAGTCAAAATCCAAGATGGCTGCCTTTCAGCCATTTTGTTTTTCTGAGGAGTCCCAAAATTATATGAGCACACCTAGAGACCAAGGGGAACCTATATATGTATATATGAAATTTGAGAAAGATCCATCCAGTACTTCTCAAGAAATAGGAATAACAAAAAATGTTTATGAATGGAACGACGACAGACAGACCACAGACGCAGAGCGATTGGAATAGACAATTAGTTTAAAGTTAAGGTTATCATACCTATAGCAATACAATAAGATATATACAAATATAACAAAAATCTGGTAAATTTTTGTTGGTGTTCTTATAAGTCAATTATAGGTATATAAAAGTTATACTCACAATGACATAGTCCAGAAAAGTTACATAAAGTTATTTTACCATTATATCAAAATATTCTAAGCCCAAAATAGGTACAAAAATGCTATACCTAGAAATTTCAAAATCCAGAATAGGTAAAAAAAAACTATACCTAGTATTTTCTAAGTCCAGAAAATTTACAAAAAGTTACACTGAAGTTCAATACACCTTCAGAAAATATTCTGTTTAGAAACACTGCGGAAATACGGAGGGAATCAAAGTTCTACATTGTAACACCTAGAGCTAGTAATATGATATAACAGAATTGCTTTTATTTTCCCAACACTGTTGAGGTTAGCTCCCTTGCAACAGTTCATCAAAGCATAAATACAAAAAATGCTGAGATACATGAATGAAATGAGATCATTTCAAAAACTGGTTAAACATATATTGAACACAATATGAATGAGTAGGTAACTTTATTAACATAATGTATCAATCTGAGCTTGAAAAAAAAACAAATCAAACAAAAATCGAGAATGATTGAAAAAATGCCATTGACCTCTTCAAACAATCTATAATGTATTACTGGTCTTTTCCACAAACAATGTACTACTATCCTCTCTTACAAACAATGTATTACAGTCCTGTCCTACAAACAATGTATTACAGTCCTGTCCTACAAACAATGTATTACTGTCCTGTCCTACAAACAATATACTACTGTCCTGTCCTACAAACAATGTATTACAGTCCTGTCCTACAAACAATGTATTACAGTCCTGTCCTACAAACAATGTACTACTTTCCTCTCTTACAAACAATATACTACTGTCCTGTCCTACAAACAATGTATTACTGTCCTGTCCTACAAACAATGTATTACTGTCCTGTCCTACAAACAATGTATTACTGTCCTGTCCTACAAACAATGTATTACTGTCCTCTCTTACAAACAATATACTACTGTCCTGTCCTACAAACAATGTATTACTGTCCTGTCCTACAAACAATGTATTACTGTCCTCTCTTACAAACAATATACTACTGTCCTGTCCTACAAACAATATACTACTGTCCTGTCCTACAAACAATGTATTACAGTCCTGTCCTACAAACAATGTATTACTGTCCTGTCCTACAAACAATATACAAACAAACAATGCACTACTTTCCTCTCTTACAAACAATGTATTACTGTCCTGTCCTACAAACAATGTATTACTGTCCTGTCCTACAAACAATGCACTACTTTCCTCTCTTACAAACAATGTATTACTGTCCTGTCCTACAAACAATGTATTACTGTCCTGTCCTACAAACAATGTATTACTGTCCTGTCCTACAAACAATATACTACTGTCCTGTCCTACAAACAATGTATTACTGTCCTGTCCTACAAACAATATACTACTGTCCTGTCCTACAAACAATGCACTACTTTCCTCTCTTACAAACAATGTATTACTGTCCTGTCCTACAAACAATATACTACTGTCCTGTCCTACAAACAATGTATTACTGTCCTGTCCTACAAACAATATACTACTGTCCTGTCCTACAAACAATGTATTACTGTCCTGTCCTACAAACAATGTACTACTTTCCTCTCTTACAAACAATGTATTACTGTCCTCTCTTACAAACAATGTATTACTGTCCTGTCCTACAAACAATGTATTACTGTCCTGTCCTACAAACAATGTACTACTTTCCTCTCTTACAAACAATATACTACTGTCCTGTCCTACAAACAATGCACTACTTTCCTCTCTTACAAACAATGTATTACTGTCCTGTCCTACAAACAATGTATTACTGTCCTGTCCTACAAACAATGCACTACTTTCCTCTCTTACAAACAATATACTACTGTCCTGTCCTACAAACAATGTATTACTGTCCTGTCCTACAAACAATGTATTACAGTCCTGTCCTACAAACAATGTATTACTGTCCTGTCCTACAAACAATATACTACTGTCCTGTCCTACAAACAATGTACTACTATCCTCTCTTACAAACAATGTACTACTGTCCTGTCCTACAAACAATGTATTACTGTCCTGTCCTAAAGACAATGTATAACTGTTCTGTCCTATATACAGTGAATTACTGTTTTGTCTCACATGAAATGTATTACTACCTGTACTACATGAAATGTATTACTGTCCTGTCCTACAAACAATTTATTACTATTCTGTCTCACAAAAAAACCCGTGTATTACTCACCTGTCTTACATAAAACATACACTATTGTTCTGTTCCAATGTAGTGTATTAATGGTTTACATACAAATCTACAATGTATTACTGTCCTGTCCTACATACTGTATAATGTTTTACTTTTCTGTCCTACATAAAATGTACTACTTTTCTGCCTTACATACAATGTCTTACTGTTCTGTCCTACATCCAATTTTTCCATTTTCTGTCTTATATAAAATGCATTACTGTTCTGTCTTACAAACAACGTATTACTTTTCTATTCTACATAAAACTGTTCAAATCCACATACAATGTATGACAATTTCTCTTCCACATGTGAGTATTACTGATCAGTCCCACAACTACAGCTATGTCCCAAAAGAATTAGTGATATAACTGTCCACATGTCCAGTAAAACTACAATGTCTTTGCTCTCATCATCTTTCTCTAGAATAATTTGAATTTATAGTAAGAAATACAGGTAGCTGAAGTAACTTTTATTTGTTTTCATTCTCTGTGAAGTAGGTTCTATGAATTACCTTCTGTGGCAGTGGCTGGTCCAACTACATAACATCTCCACTTTTTCAGGGGCTGCATCTCTCCACCTGTTTAGAAAAGAAGGGATCTGTCTTTCAGATACTATAACATAGCAGTAATGAACTCATTTATCATTATCTTCCTCTACCTACATTCCTGTATATTTACTGGAGAGTTTCAGACAATACACAATAATACTAGTACTGGATTCTTGTATCTAGTACATTCCTTGTTATACAACACCAAGGAAAAATAGTTTTACACTAGGAAGTTCAGAAATTTTTAAACATTTCAATTTCATAACTGATCTATTCATACTAGGAAGTTCAGAAATTTTTAAACATTTCAATTTCATAACTGATCTATTCATACAGTCATTTGACTAATCTAAAATTAATTTCTGTTAAAATAGAAACGAAAATTCAAGGAATGCTTTTTAATGGCCATGATTTTATCCCAATATTGTTCAAAAGCTGCCAAAGGTGTGGTATTGTTCTAGAAAGATTCTACAAAACCTTTGAAAGTGGAACTGCTACCAGTATGCAGGTCATGGGTTCACAGCCACATTGATTATACTACTAGGTCATCATTTGAAGGCAACTTATTGCTGATGAAACTGGTTACCCTGGTAAGTACTAGCATACACATCCACTAGAGAGAGATCTTCAGCTCAATTGAGCACAAGGCCAGTAAGCCAGGGGTCCTTGGTTTGATCTCCAGCAAAGACAATGGCATAAATGATAATTTCTGTCACACTGATAATTACTACTATAACAGGGATGCTGAAATTACTGGACAGTTATACAGTTAAAGGTCCCAATACCAGACTCTTGACACCTAGAACAATCAATCTGAGGTTATCTAACCTTTTTCCTGCTCTGATTACAGTAACTTTATATGGCCTAATACCTAATCATGACACAGGGAAATTAAGTTGATGGTTTCTGCCCTGTTATAACTCCTTTTCTTGGCATGCTCCCTTTTTTGAGACAGAAAAATTAAAGTTGAGGTTATTTCCCCTTTCCTGTCCTGACTATAATTAAAGGCATGATGTCGTGATACAGGGGAGACATACTGAGGTTATCCCCCTTTACTCTTGCCAGCAGGTAAATGAAGTTACCATACACCATATGTTTTATCCAATGCTATCTCCTTGGACTGCCAAATTTAAGCTACATGCATGAAATACACAATTGTCCTACTGAAATCTTCTCTCCTGAATTCTGGCACATTGATTAGATTATCTCCCCTGAATTCCACAACTGATATACATGTATTGAAAAGATTACTGAAGTTATCTCAGCAGAACTTACACCTATCATACTTGCATAAAACATTATAGCAAGACCATCTCAACTGATTTCCACACCTTACATAAATGTATTGATATTTTACTAAAGTCACCTTTCTGCAATATTATAATGGTGTCATGGGTGTTCCTTAGATTTTCCACTACAATAAGCCCCCCTGCCTATACCTGCCTCAGCCAACAAGACTAATTCATATGAGTTTATAGATCTTGCTTTCACAACTAATGTCACATTGATAATGTTTAATCAATTTCACAATCCAATTGTTGTCCAACTTTTTACCCCTGGTATACATAGTCATTGGTCATCAATTTCTATACAAACCCGATTCTAGCACCATTCTTGTAGCTTTCACAGCCTGTTGACTAGTGAATACAATTGCAGAAAAGTCCTCTGGTCTTGACATCTGATTCATATAAAGGTCAAGGTTCAGGAATTCAAAAGTCAATACAGGACAGAGGGTTGCCTTAATTCCTGCATCTACAAGCAACTGCAAACAAAAAAAAGAAATATATATAGGACATTGACACACCCAATGATTATCAACAATTTGATGGTCGGCCAACCACTGGTGTCACAAGATGGCTGCAGTTAATATGTGGGATCTGAGGATTACAATCCACATTCATTAATGTAACATTTAGTGGATAATTGGTAAAAAGACAAAAAAAGTAGTAAATGTAGAAAATGTTACCTCTAGTATGTCATTTGTCACTAACAACCTTGGGATATTAGCATGAATGAACTGAGAGGTCTTAAGGTTAACCTGTATTGTAAGGTTAGCTAACCTATTGTATTGTTATAGGTCCATTTTAATGTATAAATGTAAAGCCAAAATACTGTACTGTAAGGTCAGCTAACCTATTGTATTGTTATAGGTCCATCTTAATGTATAAATGTAAAGCCAAAATACTGTACTGTAAGGTCAGCTAACCTATTGTATTGTTATAGGTCCATCTTAATGTATAAATGTAAAGCCAAAATACTGTACTGTAAGGTCAGCTAACCTATTGTATTGTTATAGGTCCATCTTAATGTATAAATGTAAAGCCAAAATACTGTACTGTAAGGTCAGCTAACCTATTGTATTGTTATAGGTCCATCTTAATGTATAAATGTAAAGCCAAAATACTGTACTGTAAGGTCAGCTAACCTATTGTATTGTTATAGGTCCATTTTAATGTATAAATGTAAAGCCAAAATACTGTACTGTAAGGTCAGCTAACCTATTGTATTGTTATAGGTCCATCTTAATGTATAAATGTAAAGCCAAAATACTGTACTGTAAGGTCAGCTAACCTATTGTATTGTTATAGGTCCATCTTAATGTATAAATGTAAAGCCAAAATACTGTACTGTAAGGTCAGCTAACCTATTGTATTGTTATAGGTCCATCTTAATGTATAAATGTAAAGCCAAAATACTGTACTGTAAGGTCAGCTAACCTATTGTATTGTTATAGGTCCATCTTAATGTATAAATGTAAAGCCAAAATACTGTACTGTGAGGTCATCCTAACATGTTGAAGGTAAAGGTTTTATATACATGTCATTTAATTCTTTGCTTCATGTGGATCCATATATTCCCTGTGAGATTGAAATAAAACATCTGTTACAATGAATGCACTTGATAAGATGAGCAAACCATCTCCTTGACAACATAAACAATTCATGAATGCAGGCATTATGACTTCATAGATCATATGATAAAACATCTACAATCATGCTACTGTGAAATCTCACAGTATATATAAAGATAGCATTTCAAAATATAATCTTCAACTTTTTCCCATCACTCACAGTGCAAACTGTATAACAGTAAAAGTCAGTAAATCTGACTCTTTGAAACTGAAATAGTACACCATCACATATGTAGACTTATGGTCCTAAACTCATGGTTCTACTGGTTAACCAGGAATCTGAGATCTAAAACACGGTCTATGGCTTTTTTTCACTGATCATTTCTGATTGTTACCCTTGCAAGTTCAAAGATGCCATTGACCTGGAATTAATAACTGAGGGTCACAGAGTATGTAGTATACATACACCATCATTGTCATATTGTTAACGACATACAGGTCGTCATTGACACTGAGGTTGTCATCATAGACACAGTGGTCATCATCATTGACACAGTAGTCATCATCATTGACACAGTGGTCATCATCATTGACACAATGGTCATCATCATAGACAAAGTGGTCATCATCATTGACACAGTGGTCGTCATCATTGACACAATGGTCATCATCATAGACAAAGTGGTCATCATCATTGACACAGTGGTCATCATCATTGACACAGTGGTCGTCATCATTGACACAGTGGTCATCATCATAGACACAGTGGCCGTCATTGACAGAGGTTGTTGTTGCCAAAGAGATCACTGATGACACAGAGGGCATCCCTCCATCACTGTTCTCGCACTTTTATCTGATGCAAATAATTCACTTACACAAGTGCCCTACCATGATAATAAATTCCATTACCAAAACAAGTAACATATTAAACTCAAGTCTAATGGACAAAAATGATTTAGATTGAATATTTTGCTACAAAGGTAAAGAAAAATGTTAACTGCTACATGTAATACTGTGCTATATATTCCTATTTACCCATAACACTGTGCTACAATATCCTATCAAGTTCAACTGCATTATGCACCTGTGCATTTCAAATAACTGTGTAAAAAATCTCTTTTCTCTGATGTGGTTGAAAACATTAGCACAAGATTTTATGATATCCTGTGAAATACAAACCTCGATGACGAGGCGAAGAGATTAGAAGTCAATATCTGGCTTCACATTTTATCAATAAAGGGACATAACTCCCAGAAAAAAATAACCATTATAGCAACTGTTGAGAGAGTAAAAAGCATTACTCCAGAATAAAAAAACTTGTGTCAGACAATCCCTTTATGACTGGGTATATATCATCACCTGATTGATGGAAAGACATCAGCTGATAACTGTGTATATACCATCACCTGATGGATGGACAGACTTTCCCTGATACCTGTGTATATACCATCACCTGATGGATGGACAGACTTTCCCTGATACCTGTGTATATACCATCACCTGATGGATGGACAGACTTTCCCTGATACCTGTGTATATACCATCACCTGATGGATGGACAGACTTTCCCTGATACCTGTGTATATACATCACCTGATGGATGGACAGACTTTCCCTGATACCTGTGTATATACCATCACCTGATGGATGGACAGACTTTCTCTGATACCTGTGTATATACCATCACCTGATGGATGGACAGATTTTCCCTGATACGTGTGTATATACCATCACCTGATGGATGGACAGACTTTCCCTAATACCTGTGTATATACCATCACCTGATGGATGGACAGACTTTCCCTGATACAGGTGTATATACCATCACCTGATGGATGGACAGACTTTCCCTGATACCTGTGTATATACCATCACCTGATGGATGGACAGACTTTCCCTGATACCTGTGTATATACCACCACCTGATGGATGGACAGACTTTCCCTGATACAGGTGTATATACCATCACCTGATGGATGGACAGATTTTCCCTGATACAGGTGTATATACCATCACCTGATGGATGGACAGACTTTCCCTGATACCTGTGTATATACCATCACCTGATGGATGGACAGACTTTCCCTGATACTGTGTATATACCATCACCTGACCTGTGTATATACCATCACCTGATGGATGGACAGACTTTCCCTGATACAGGTGTATATACCATCACCTGATGGATGGACAGACTTTCCCTGATACCTGTGTATATACCATCACCTGATGGATGGACAGACTTTCCCTGATACCTGTGTATATACCATCACCTGATGGATGGACAGACTTTCCCTGATACCTGTGTATATACCATCACCTGATGGATGGACAGACTTTCCCTGATACCTGTGTATATACCATCACCTGATGGATGGACAGACTTTCCCTGATACCTGTGTATATACCATCACCTGATGGATGGACAGACTTTCCCTGATACCTGTGTATATACCATCACCTGATGGATGGACAGACTTTCCCTGATACCTGTGTATATACCATCACCTGATGGATGGACAGACTTTCCCTGATACCTGTGTATATACCATCACCTGATGGATGGACAGACTTTCCCTGATACAGGTGTATATACCATCACCTGATGGATGGACAGACTTTCCCTGATACCTGTGTATATACCATCACCTGATGGATGGACAGACTTTCCCTGATACCTGTGTATATACCATCACCTGATGGATGGACAGACTTTCCCCGATACCTGTGTATATACCATCACCTGATGGATGGACAGACTTTCCCTGATACAGGTGTATATACCATCACCTGATGGATGGACAGACTTTCCCTGATACCTGTGTATATACCATCACCTGATGGATGGACAGACTTTCCCCGATACCTGTGTATATACCATCCATGGATGGATGGACAGACTTTCCCTAATACCTGTGTATATACCATCACCTGATGGATGGACAGACTTTCCCCGATACCTGTGTATATACCATCACCTGATGGATGGACAGACTTTCCCTGATACAGGTGTATATACCATCACCTGATGGATGGACAGACTTTCCCTGATACCTGTGTATATACCATCCATGGATGGATAGACATTTCCTTATTTATATTAAATAATAACTTGTTAATGCCAAAATGTATTTGTTTCGCAAATGTGGAGTGGATGACTAATGTTGATATAGATCAGTAATGAATCTCTGCTGTCTATGAGTGGATACATGTACCACTGATTTTTACAAGAAATTAAAAGAAATTAAAAGAATGGAGAATGAATCAATATCTGCTAAGGCATAAAAAAGTGGTGAGATCATTCCAAAACCGGAGACATCTTCAATTTCAACCATTCAAATAGCAGAACCATATACATGTATTTCTACTCGTTTTAAAAGCACAAGTAAACCTACATAAAATGTACTATACTGTACATTCTGTACTTAAACAATTGTGTCTGCACTAAAGCTTAGAGCAACCTGTTAATTTGACATGTACCTTATAAGATGCCTCTTCATTATTTATGAGATTAGATATAAAGAATAAAATGTATTTTTTACAATTATCAATCTAATTCCAACAAATAATTACAACATACATATTTTTTGTGTCACATTTTAATTTATGAAGTTGCCTGTTGTATGATGTTAAAGTGAGAATATTATGCTAAGTTGGCTACAAATGTTAAAACTAAGACCACATTTTAATAATCTTTAGACCAAGGAATGCTGACTCCAAGGAGATTCTACCACAAGCACCTAAAACCGACAATTTCAACACCAGATAAACTTGTCAGAAAGTTTCATTAACATTCAACATAAACAAATTAGCATGTTATTATTGGTACAGCTACATGCTTCTAAACCATTCTGACAATGCCTGACCACTTTCCTCCCTAAAATCCTTAAATATTTCAAAGAGAACTGTTT